ACCGGGGGGTGTTTGGGGACAGCCGACTGAACACGAGCCAGCAGTGTGCCCAGGTGGCCAAGAATGCCACCAGCATCCTGGTCTGGATCAGAAACGGTGTGACCAGCAGGAGCAGGGAGGCGATTGTACCCTTGGACTCAGCACTCGTGAGACCACACCTTGAGCACTGTGTCCAGTTTTGGGCACCACAGGATAAGAAGGACATGGAGGTGCTGGAGTGGGTCCAGAGAAGGGCAATGAGGCTGGTGAGAGGGCTGGAAAACATGCCTTATGGAGCCTGGCTGAGGGAACTGGGGTTGCCTTATTGCTCTCTACAACTACCTAAATGGAGGCTGTAGTGAGGTTGGTGTTGGTCTCTTCCCCCAGATCACACTGATAGGACAAGAGGAAATGGCCTCAAGTTGCACCAGGGGAGGTTTTGATTAGATATTAGGAAGAAATTCTTCACTGAGAGAGTTGTTAGACACTGGAATGGGCTGCCCAGGGAGGTGGTGAAGTCACCATCGCTAGAGGGGTTAAAAAACCGAGTAGATGTAGCACTTGAGGTTATTGTCTAGTGATCGGGGAAATGCTGGGATGGTGGTTGGACCTGATGATCCCAGAGGTCCTTTCCAATCATGGTGATTCTACAATTCTATGATCATCCATGGGAATAATTCTCTTTATTTTCATCTACCAGGGCATGCCTCTGTTTTATATAGTCATTGCAGACAATCACTGTACCCTCTGTCCACTGTCATGAATTCTCCTTCAGTCTACATTGAAACTGCTTCAAATGTTTCTTTTGTGTCCTTCATTATATTGTACAGCCTCTTTTAGGCTTTCCTCTTACAGATTAGTTAAAGCCTAGACAACATGATCTTCTAACCTTGACCCATAACCCAGTTCCTTATGTGTGGATGGAAGAGTATGCACAGGAGACCAATGGAGATGAGTGACATTTCATATGGATAGAAGGGATCTAACCAGGCTTAAGACAGCACATCTTCAGTCAGGACATCTTTGCCTTCTCAGATATATGTACCTTTCAACCATTTTAATATCAGTAAAAGTGCAGTTTTTGCTGTAATGTCTCTTCTTCTGTCCTTCTGGTAGATTTTCTGCGTTGATGAGTGTGGGAAAACTGACTGTCGTACTGTCCTAAAACTGACCTAAGATAAACAGGACAAAGCTTTTAAGTTTCCTGTAAGACTCTGCCACACTTGCTGGATGTGGGATTACATGTGCCAACGTCTCAAAGGCTTTCATCAGCACTGCTGCTGCTTAGCAGGTTATTGTCCGTCTGCTGACTGATGGTAGCCAGCGATCTACACATACCCAGCCACTGCTGCACCAAATAAACATGCTGCCTTCAGTCTCCTTAGGATAGGAGCCTTGCTTTCTAGTTGCTCCCATCTTGCTTTCTTGCTCCCATCAGTGTAGCATAGACTTAAGCCTTTATGCAGCCTTAGCATAAAGGCAAGCTTAGATAGCTGACACAGTCAGGTACCACGGCTCTGGTCAGAAGCGGCACCTTGCTAGGTCAGAGCAATGTCATCTGTTTGCACCATGCATCCATTTTCTCAGGGGAGTAGCTGGTTTAGCATGCGTTGCTTTTTTTTTCTCCAGTATCTCAACACATCTCTCATCACATCTGCATTACAATGCAAACAAACTAAAATGTAAACACCTTATAAGCAGATAGGAACCAACCACTGAGATACTTGCTTGAATTCTGCTGTTGCAAATTCCTACCAAAAGAAAATGCTATTCATCCAGAAAAGGGCTGAGCTGGGACAGACTGGGAGGTCTCCAAGCTAGCCCAATAATGCAATTACTAGTGAGTTCCTCTGTACCAATCTGTTAGAAAATAACAACATATGAGCACTAAATAGAAAAAAAAAAAAAAAACAAAAAACCTCCATCTTTAATATTTCCTTTTAATTTTCAAGTAGTAAGGTATATAACCATAATGTCTGGCAGTAGGCACTTGATCATATGGCTGTAACAGCAACACAGAGAAACATCACATGCCATAAAAATCTATATAGCTACATCTGATTTACATCTTCATCATCACAGTGGTCTAGCAGGTACTTTGGACAATCAGAGAAAACCAAACCTTCAGAGCTACCTGTCAGAAAGACAAAGCCTGAACTCTTAGAGAACATGGGGAGTTTTATCTGAAAAAAAATCTGTCTAAGGTTTGAAATGGGTGAGATAGGAAGCTGATCCCAGAAGGAGAAGACACAACATCTGGCTCAGTGCTGGGATGCTGCACTATTTCTGTGTCTGGCCCAAATTCAGCCAAGCAGCGGCCAAATCTTTTCAGAGCAGCATCTTAAATTCAATTCATTCTGCAGAGACTCTTGCTTATCCCTAGGATATACCTACTAGAAGTCATATTGTAACATTGATGTTAACAAATCAGAAGACTCTGATCTAGGCCTGAAATCCTAAAATGCCCCAAATGCATTTAAAGCAATACCAGCGTAGGTGTCATTATTTACTATTTAAGTATCTGTCAAGTGCTGGCAAACTTCTCAAAACATGAATCAGGACAGAACTATTTTATTTCCTGTGGAAACGTCTGAACCTCATTTAATCTGTTTCAGCTTTTGACCTGTCAGAACCCATATGGGACAAAGCGCTAAGTGAATTATAGAGCAACAGCAACTTCTACTGTGCCCTAATTATTGATTAAAGTAGAAAGTAAGCTTTTGCACAGTCCAGACTCAAGTGAAAAGCCTTTTCTATTCAGAAGAACAGTGCGTCCAGTGCATGCTTTTCTGCAGTGTTGCTGCGATGTATATTCCCCAGCTGTGACCTGAAAGTGAAACAGCTATAAACAAATATGAATCATCATCTTAGCCGATTTTTATCCAAGTTCATACAGGTAACTGGGATTGTTGAGCTGTTTTTAACTTACTATCCTGTGGTTAAAGCCGAATTGAGGTAAGGAAATGTGCATGTGTTGGTTTTAAAGTTGGCATTGTTCCTCTAAAGCACAAATAAACTTTAAACAGATCTCATTCCCATAAAAAGCTGGATCCTGCAGGCTGGGGAAAAAAACCTACCATGTTTATTCTTGCCATTAATGTTCTGAAAAGGTATTTTCCTGACATAAAACTCATTTTCACACCTGGTCTGGTTTTGCAGCATGGTAGCAATAATGTTTAATCCTGTTGGATGCCACCTCAGGAAACATGCTACAAATCAGTTTCATCAGGTGAGCATCCCACTGCTGTCTGCAGCTGAGGTCCCTGACACCACAGGCTTAAAAGTGGAAAGGAAACCCTTCTGCATAAGGTTAAAGATCAAACCCAAACATTTTGTTTTGTCACTTTGAAAAGAACTTATTTCAATGTTTTAGTCTGAAAGAATAAATCAATGGAGGTTTCAACTTTAGAAGCCAATTTGGAACAAAAAGCAACGTAAAAACATCCAGCTGTCCTAAGGGCCTCACCTGGCCCATTTGCATCTTGTCTGCATACTCTGTAGAAGGGAGTTTAATGCAAACACTTGCCAGCTATTACCATGTGTTAATAAGCTTTCTACTACTGCCAGTTCAGGATGAGAACTGCAGGGTTTCTTCCAGAGTGATGGGAGAGTGGGTACTGACAATCAAGAAATCATCATGGAGAGGCATTTCTCCTCTGGTTCCCACTTATTAAAGACTCTTTTGTGGCCCTTTTAGACTAGAACTTAGGAAGAAGTTCCTCAGTATGAGGGACACTGGAATTGATTTCACAGAGAGGTTGTGGACGCCCTCTCCCTGGAGGTGTTCAAAGCCAGGTTGGATGCCTTGAGCAACCTGGTCTAGTTGAGAGGCATCCCTGCCCATGGCAGGGAGGTTGAATTAGACGATCTCTATGGTGCCTTTCAACCTAACCCATTCTATGATTCTTTTTAAAAAGCCTATTTTGAAAAGCACCATTTGTGGTAGTCAAAACGGCCGGTATGAAGGCAGGATGGGTCACACAGAGGGTCACTGTGGATGATTTTCTGCACTGTAACTGCACCTCCTTTCAGATCAGTCCTTACCCAAACTAGGATCTCACTGATACTGGGACACTGTCGGCATATGGACCTGGAAAAATTTTCTGCATTGAACAAAATGAGCCAATTAAGTTTATAAGCAAGACATCTCTGTAGACCTAGAACCTGTAGGAACTGGGAAGTAACAACTGTGAAGCAGTAAGTGCAAGGGTTCTAGGGGATTTACATCCACAAAACACAAGGTTAAAGGATCTGTCAGTGTAGTTACACAAAACCCCCTATGTAGGGCTGTCCAGCACCCTAGGAGAGACAGGAACATCTCTGTGTCCAGGAGAGATATAGTCAGAGATGTCCAGTCAGCAGATGTAGCCAGTATCCTGCACAGCACTGAAGCCTGAGAAGCCCTGAGAGAGTGGAAGCCGCCAAAATGACCTCTGGAGCTCCAGGTCTGCACATGTGCCCTGACCTCTGGTCACGCTCCAGGATTTGACTTTGAGCCAGCCTCCAACCATCTCATCTGTATGGCAACTGATGCTTGGTTTAGCTTCTGGAAACAGAAACACAACCACAGCTCAGGAAATTTCATTACAGCCCTCATTGTGATTTCCTCAGTTGGTACAGAGAAACTCACACGCACCCTTGCAAGACCCATGGGCAAATGTACCTCTGCACTGCACAGCATAGCCCACCTTGAGTCAGTAATGCTAGCAGATACAGCTCATCACACGGACTGTTCTCACACAGCACACCACATCACCTTGTGCCTTATTTACATTTTGCGTGAAAAGAGCAAGCAACATTAGGTTCAATCAGAAATGAAAGCAGAACCCATTTTAACAAATAAGGAGATAACAAGAGCCCTGATTCTCCTCTTGGACACGATCACAGCTCCTCTTATGGCCAAGCAGAGCTGGAAGTGCACAAGACAGGAAGAGGGCTCTTAGAGAACAGAAGAACCTGCTTTAAGGACACGACACAGAGCTACAATAACCAAGGAGAGCGAGAAGTAGAAAGAGACATACTGGAGAAGCTGACCATTGCGAAATGCTGACACCGGTCTCCTGTGAATTCGATCGGACACCTACCGGAAGAAAGAAAACCAGAAAGAGAGAAACAAGATAGCAAAATGACACCCAAACAGACCGAACTGAGGCCCCTTCTGATCCCTTCCATGACTCCTATCCGTCTGCTTTCAGCCTTCACCCTTACCTGCATCCCTAAGCCCTAGCCCAAAGCTGACACCAAGAGCCATCCCTGACTAGACCACTCTACATCCACCGCTGTGCCCAGGAGGTTTTAAGTAGTGTGGTGCATTTTTTGTCTTCAAACATACTTTGCTTAGGATCTGGCATGTACAATCGCAAAGGCAGTTTCTCCAAACATCTCTGTCCGAAGAATCCATTTGGACATCTGGAGGGGAAAAGGGGAGAAATCACAGAACATGTCTGGCACCGTTCTTGAGGCTAAGGTCAGAAACAAAAAGTGCATTGTGATGAATGGAAAAAAATAAAGGTTTTATGCGTATATTTACTCTTTGCTTTGCTTTAACCAGGCACCTGCAATATCAGCATTCCAGCTCTCTTCTGGCCCTGGGTCTTCAAGCAACCAGAAAAACCCCTCCTTTCCTCCCCTCCTGCCTCCTTTTTTCTCACCTACTAGAAGCACCAGCTGGCAGGAAGATTGAGATGGGCTAGATGCTACTTTCAGAGACTCTCCTTGGAGCAGCTATCTAGACAAGACTGGCAAGAGGCACCACAGAGCAGTGAGCAGCTGCTCAGGCAGCAGCAAGCGTTGTGTACAGCAAGCGTCTTCCCATTATCACCCCAGAAGTACCCACAGGATGTTCCAAGGAAAAGGGTGACTTTGTGGTTAGAAAGCATGTGCGGAGTCTCTGTGTTAACAGAGAGAAAAGGACAGAGAAGAAAGCTGAACCGAACAGGTCTCACATGCTGCACAGCTGCGAGGCTCACTCAGGCTGTCCTGACCAACGTTACGTGTTGGGCTGGGATGTACCAGCTCGTGGGACACCACTTAAGCACTAGCATGATGCTGCAGTGTCAGGGATGGCACCCTGCTGATGAGGGCTAGCAGGCATGCACATCATCTCATGGGTAAGCTCCTCGGAGCCGCTCCCAGGCTGAGCCGGGTTTGGGGAGCACAGGGACGTGGGTAGGGGTGCAGCAGGAGATGCTGAACCACACACATTGTGACCCACCACAGCTGCGGGTAAGCCTGGGGAGCAACGGGAGCTCAGCTGTGGGTGGTCAACCACTTCTCCCCCAGGCAGTTAATCTCTCTGTCACTTCACGTATTTTCTTCTGGCCTCCTTGAATAGTCCCTCAAACTTATCCCTAGCTTTCTTGAAGTCCTAGATCTTAACTGCCTGTCCCACATCTCCCTTACTACACAACTGACCTCTCCGTCCTCTGAGCTTAAGAGGGTTTTATCATTTTAGCTCACATCTTCACATCTGTTTTCCAGCTTCCCAGGGTAAAATGAGTTGAAGGCTCTGAGCCTCGTACACATCAGAGCTTCCTTGCTTTCAGTTCCCACCCACAAGATTGCACTCT